TGCTCACTCTTATTTTTATTGCCATCAAAGAATTTTATTGCCACTAGATAACTGCATTTCTGAAATTATCATCCTCAGTAATACCAATACTGACAACAACTAGTGAAAAGGAAAACTGAACTGAAAAACAGAGCATGGATCATGAAGCAGAGTTATGTATTTAGAAGGGAATTCAATGTGTTTCGCTAAAATTTTATTTCACTTCTCAAGCCAAAAAAATAAGGCAACAGACTCAACAGCCTAGTAACTCTTTCCTCTAGAAAAAGAGATAGAACTAGGACTCTACTGTCTAGAAAAATTACACGTATTAGAACAATTAAAGCAAAATAGTCACTGCTTAGTTCCATACCATTACAGATTGATCTACTATCTACTGCTAGCAAGTGGACTGGTCCTTGGGTAAAGTCTTTAAACACAGAGTGTAGTGAATTAATCTTCTGAGTCAGTGTCCTGGCAATCATCCCAGCTAAGCTAAAAATTACAGTAATGTATATATAGATTAAGGATGAAGTCTTATTCATTCCTACCCCTTCAAGTTAAACACAGTCTATCACATGTGCAATTTCCACATGTTGTTTTGATAGAATATTAGCTTTCCTTATTTAAAAACAGAGAAGTAGTTGTTCATATATCTGTTGTGAAAAGTTCAAAGATGCAGAGATATACACCTGTTCATAGTATTAATCATCTACTGGCAAAAAAAGACATTTACAGATAATTACCAAAGAACTCTTTATTCACACCAATATCATTACCTTATGTAATAGATGTAGCATAGTATTTTAGACCTTCAGAAAAAAAAAAAAAAAGCATCATGCTATTATCCTCAGTACATTTGAAAATACATGGATATCTAGAAGCATAGAAAAGCAATCTTAATAAACACAAATCTTAGGGAACTTTATACAATGGCCCATAGAACATAAAAGTACAACCTGCATTGGTGAGCAGATAACGTTTTTACAACTATGAAAAAGACTATAAAAGTATAAGGCAATAGACTCCAATCCTCTATGTGTCTCATCGCTTTTGCAGTGACTCTAAACAAACAAACATTGTTCTTCTCCTGGCATTAAAAGAAACTGGGCATTAATAGGTGTATTAGGAGTCTGCGGAGTTAAGGGAACTTCATGAAGTACTGCTTTAGAGCAGAAGCACTTGGATTATGTAGGACACTTACATAGCCCCATAAAGCCATTAAAATGATACTGGAGGATCTGAGCATGAAAGAAAGAGATAGATTAAACACAGAACTCTCCAACTTGGGTATATCTACAATACACCAAACCTGCATATCCGCAGGGCATAGTTAATCCTAATAAACTTACTTATTTTAAACAAATGTCACCAAGTCAGATATTTCAACTAAAAAAAGTAAGAATTTCTTATGCCAGAAATAGGTATGCTTATTAAAGTAAACTGCACAATTTGAATTCTGAAATGATTTTATTACCTAATATGGCTATTCTACTAAGCCACATAAAGAGCACTCTTCCTTCCTGCACTCAAAAGTTTATGTAATTCTTTTAGTTTAAGATATCTTTAAGTGAAGAAATGAGGTAGATATTTAGCCATTAAATCCGTAATTATTACCTCAGTATTAAAATAACTTGATTTAATTCTAATTTTAACATATTTCTCCAATGAACTATGTTGTATTGTATGCACTCATACATCAATATTAAAGCTGTAAATAACTTTGTAAACTATCAACATTTTTTTATTGTTTCTCCAAAAGAATATGTGTACACTTGCCTACTTTAAATTATGCTGTACAGATTAATAAGGTCACAAAATATGCCGGTCCCATATCAATAATGAAATTTTAAAACAGATAACAATATTTTTAATTCAGGACGAAGATATAGAACTTTGAAGTTTGTTCATTTAGTGCCCATGAGACACACCTTTACATTTGGAGGCATCTATCCATCCATTAACTGTCTTTATTGTTTGTATTTTGCTTAAGAACCAAATTAGAGAATTTGGTCATTTCTTATAGGCATGCTAGAAGCCATTATTTGTATTATTGTGAAGAGTGAAAAGCTGAAGGAGCACTCTTCTCATACTTAATTATTAAGTCTGTACTAATTTGCAGTGTCATTCTTTCACAAATAGGCATACATATTTATTTACTGTTTAGTATCTTCAAGTTAAAAACAAACAGAAACCCTAATTTGTGATTAAGAACTTCATAATACCACTGCTAAAACAACATATCATTATAAACACAAGTGAATACAAATACTTTTTTCACTGTTGTTCAGTTCAAGAGTACATGATTTCTCCTCCCACCACATTTTAATTCAAAACTGCAATGAACAGTTTTCAAATTCTTATTTCATCATATTTACAAGAACCTCTGAGAGAACAAATGTTCCACCAAAGGTGTTCACTCTTTATTTTCTGCTCTGAGATACTGATGCAGTGTGTCAGACAAGAGCAGAGTTTAGATATGAGCTTACTATATAAGAACTAGAGCTGCACTATGGATTTCTCTTTCATTCCTGAAGTATGTGGCAATTGAAAGCAGGCTGCTACAGGTGCTGGAAAATGCACAGTCTAATCTGAGATTTCCCAAGGTAAAAAAGAAGGGCTTATGAGCTAGGGCCTCCCAGTCATATGTTTGATGAGCTGCACTTGACGTGAACAATGAACAAGGAAGGACAGATCCTATGAGTTTATGGATCAAAAGACCTTATGGTTTGAGAAAGATGAGGTACATTCGGAACTCAGACTCCCAGAAGAAGTTTTGCATATTTGGGCATTTCAGAAGATTTTCATGGTTCTGTAGAGTAATGGAAGAATAGTTCTAGAGAAGAGCACTATATTAAATATAAAAAGAATATTAATATTTTTCAATCCCATTGCTGATAACTAAGGGTTTTTTTAATTTGCTTTAGTGAAATTAATGGTAGCATAAATGAAAAGTGACTTACATTCTCTGGAGTCCCTTGCATATTTAAAAAAATATTTTAAAATATTTTTTAAAAAGTTTTTTGAAAAAAGTCACATGCCCCTACATATATAATCTTTGCAAAAACATTTAGGATTTAGACCTTCTCTTCTCTTGCATCAGCTTTATTAACAAGTACTTACTTGTAAAAATGCAGCAGAATATTTTGCAGCAATTAAGAAGGAAAGTAAATGGAAACCATAGGCTATCCCAGATAATTACTAATTACATAGCTAATTACAATTATATAACACAGCTAATTACTAAACATAATTAATAGGCTCAAACAAAACATCTCCTAGAATATCATTCAAATTGAAAGCATTTTTCAAATCTTTAAATTTCTTGTTATGCATGGACAGTAGTTTTGAAATTCACAGTTGTAACTGTACAGCTGTAGCAAGTTTCTACCAATAGAATTCACAATTATTCTTTTCCAGGGAAGAGGGTGAAACAAACAAAACAAACAGATTCCCCATGTAAACATTCAAATAGAATAAGGAATCAAAAACATTTTCATATTCTGTACACATATTAAAAACAATTTAAGTTCATAGATGTTATTAAAATCATGGCCTAAGGCTTTCAGAATGAAAACATACTTCCATCTGGTTTCTTTATAACAGAAACAATTAGTGACATAACAATATTATTTTCTTTTATGATACAGATTTGGTATTGAGAACACCCATTATGATTCTTCATTGAATAAATAACAGCTCCAGACTACATGTTCCACACTATTGTCAAAAGAAAAAATATAGGGCACTGACTCAGAGTGACAAAAGAGAAATAAAAATGTAGGCCAGAATTGTATATCTAAGTAAAAGAAGGGCAGAGAGAGCTTCAGTACTGTGCCACTGATTTGCTGTACATACTCCAGAATGCTTTTACTTGTGTCAGCTCATAGTCTGACATAGGCTAAGGTGTGCAACCAGCAGTCATTTCTGGAACATGGTACAAACAGGATTGCATCAAGTTTACCCCCAAGCACTTTATACAACCCTTCAGTGCTACCCCTGTCAGGCCTTGCACTCTTAGGTCTTTCTAAAATGAGTTCAGCAATTTACAGAATGAGTTATGTCAAGAGACATCTTGGAGTCACCTAGTCCAGCCTCCTACTCAAAGGAAGTATAACCCAAAAGCCACCTTAGGTGCTACAGACAAATTTCTCTTGTACTAAAGCAAGTGCATGCCTCCAAATTCCACGGAGACTAACATACATAAGACATCTAAATGGAAAAAAGTTGCAATAGAAACAATTTCTACTACACTTTCTTCACTTCAGCACAATTGTCTTCCATACATTAAGTGTATGGATCATGACAGATAAGTAGAAAGGATTTCATTCTTTGATAAGAAAAGGGAAAAATAGTTTAAAAGTTCAGATGCAAAAAGACCTCTCACATTTTACTTGTTTAATATTAAGAACTATAAATACATTCTAAAGAAAATGCCATCATATTTATAAAGAAAATGACCTTCAGATAATCTAAAGATATTAACCTGCAGCTCCAAAGGACATTTCTTCTACTGATGCACAGTGTAAGCATAAATAATTTCACTCATTCTACTTCTTGAATCAGAGAATACAATTTCAATGCAATGACAAAACAGGAGTTTTATAAATACAACAATGATATTAATTTATAATGTGATATGTACTCAGGCACACAATAATCCTCCTAAGCCAACCCTTCAGGCAAAACAAAGCATTTAAAATCATAATATATTCAGCACACTTGAGTCAATTCCTAAACAGAGACTTGAAGAGATGTAAAAGTGCTATTCCACTTTTGCTGAATGGCTCATATCATGGTATAATGCAGAATTAATTCGGTACCCAGTTGGCTCATTTTAGTACTCGGTGAAACATAGCAACTCTAAAATTTTAGTGTTAAAGCCAAAAGTAGGACATAACAGGAACTAAAGAAAAAAAAAATTGCCACTCACCCACATATTTTCTACACTGGATTTCATCTACCAAACTTTATTAACTGCAATATATTAACCAAATCACATTGATCACACGTAAAACACTCACCTGTTTTAGGGTCAACAGAGAAATATGGCTGTCCCTGAAGAATACTATATACTACTCTGGCGCTGTTTCCATACGTAGGGTCATCTGCATCTGTTGCTGTCACCTGTAGAACAGATGTACCTGTGTATATAGGAAAATAGAAGTTAGTTGATAATGCTTGTAATTTTATGGCAAATAGGAAACATTTATAGGTACATTTCTAAAACACTTGTATTCCTCATATTCTGATATTGAGAGATCAGAGGCATTGTCTCTGTATTATTATTATTAGTATTAGAATTAGTACACAGGTAGTACTGAACGTAATGCCTCCAATTTATTTCCATGGAAACTACAACAGATACAAAGAGCACAATAACATTATTCGACAAAGCAAATTATCAGATACAAAATACTATTTTCCAACACCATCAGCCCTACTAGCTATGCATTTTAGCCAGTGATAAACAAGAACCTGCATGCCACACTTGTAAAAATCTGCACCAGCACAGGTGACTCAGTACCACTTTTGCCACTGCTGAAACCCATTACATGTCACCTCACTGTGCTCACATCCACTACTTGGTTGCCATAAAATTTCAGCAAATGTCAGTAGAGGCAATTTTTTGTCTGCATGGAGAAATTCAATTCCTTTGCTTTGTACACATTTTCATGTCAGACACCATACTTTCAGGAAAACATAAAAATACGAAGCATTACTTTTGGAGCAGTCCTCAGTTTATGGGAGCTGGTTTAGCCTAGTAACTGGAGTGCTCATCCAGTGTCAGTTTCATGTAACAAAGAATGCAGGTTTGAGCTCTGGCTGTGTTTAGAGTGGTAAGGCACTGGAACACGTTGCTCAGATGTGCTGCAGATGCCTTATCCCTGGAGATGCTCAAGGCCAGATTGTATAGGGTCCTGGGCCCCATCAGGTTGATCTAGTGCCTGACCTAGTGGTTGGCAACTCTGCCCATGGTAGGGGGGTGTGTAACCAGATGTTTTTTAAGGTCCCTTCCAACCCAAGCCATTCTATGATCCTGTGATTCATTCATTGATGATGATGACTGCAGTATATTTTTATGCTCACTTGAAAAAAACAATTCACATTCTCCCTATATGTATAAAAGTAACTTAATTACACATATACAAATATACATAACTTTGCAGCATATGTATTCGTGCTTGTTCACACATACAGATCCTAAATCTGGTAATACTTAAGAGTTACGAACAACTCATATTCGCAGACTTCAGGATTATCATCATTTGTGGTACAAATTACTGCTGAAACACATATTTAAAATTATTTTCATAAATGGCCTCAAAGCAATATAAGACACCAAAGGATTAAAAAAAAAAATCAAGCTATCAGAAGGTATAAAAGATCTGCGAATCAAATAATTACATAAGAGCTGATGTAATTCCAGTGATGAATACAATATTAAAAAAATAATAATAGAATAAGGAGTTTGAAAACCAAACATTTGTATGCAGCTAAAAGATACCATTGGAAAAAATGATGTGCCAGCAATTGTGATTAAGATAACGTATCAGATATAATGAAGATAAGCGATTTTAAACGCACTGTATTTTTCAAGACATTTAATGATGAATCTGTTTTTCTATCTTTGCCCAGCACTTCACATAAAAACAACAGTAAAAGGAAGTTAATCAAGGTGTTGTCTTCTTCCCATATGCATATTCTATAGACACAGCTTTCAGCAGACTCTTTTGGTTCAGTATTAAAATACAGAAGAAAAACAGAGGAAAGGTTTATTAAAATAAAGGAGAGCACAGGCTGCTCTTCCATAATTCTGAAAATGGCTTCCCAGCTAAATTAGCCATGAGGGATCACTTGCACTTTGGGGTGTTCAATTTCACACTTCAGTTCTGAAGAGAAAGATGCTTTTGACTTGAATCCCTTGATCTCCCTCATTGTACTTCGATTTGCCTCATGGAATGCCAGAGCATGCCAATTAGATTCCTTCCAATTAAACTAAACCAGAAGATGTGCAGTAGAAGCATGGCTAATTTACCCTGACTGCAGAGAGGCATTTGGTCTCAACCAGACCAGAGCTAATCTGAAAGGTTTCCCAAGAACATATGGTAGGAACATGGAATCCAAGTTACACAGTTTCAACTACCCGACTTTGTAGATCGGTTTCCAATGCACAGAGCTATTTGTTAATGTAACATAAACTAATTTTTATGTTAATACTCAGTCTACGTTGGGAACTGAAATACTTAAAATCATTGGTTCTCAGAGTACTGGATTCAAATCTTGGCAGATACATACTTATTGCTGTTTCAAAAAGTATTCCTTCATTCTGATATACTAACTTGGACACAGAAAGTCTCTTCTTGTGTCCCTACCAGAGCTTTAGTAAAAGGTACAGTAAATGCATCTGCATACTTAAATACAGTACCTTGTGGTTTCTGAAACAGCTCAAATGCATAGTCTCACAGCTGTATATATTCATACAGTAGATAAAAGGATACCTTGATGAATTTGAAAACTTGAAAATTGTAATAAAAATCAAGCTGAAGCTAGTAAGCTATTTGTAGTTATTCAGGAGTTAATGGTAAAATTGACTAAATCACTGAGAAAATTAAATACGAAGTAAAGTTCATGTGATTTTCTTAGAATATTGTAGGAATCTATTCAGCCATATTGATTGTTATCTCATTTTAGCGCAAGAATTCATGCAAACAACAACAGGTCACCAGAAAATAAGGGGTTTACACCCTTTTTTACAACTCCTCTAAACACTATTAGAATGTACTACTGTAGCTCAGCTGTTGTATTTAGTGGTGAAAATTAATCCATAATTCATTTATTGCTTACAGCCCTATTTATGGTTTATCATTTTAAATTGAAATTTTACTTGTGGAATTTTTAATATTGCCAAGTTAGTGAGACACACTGATTTTATTCTTTTCAACTGCATACAACAAAATAAATCTATCCAATCGGTAGCCACTCTTTTTCATAGAACTCTTGAAATTCAAGGTAGGCTTTGGAATGTATGAGCCTAGCTATTTCAGATAATAAAAATACATGAAATAAATTTAACATTTAATGGTACTATCATTCCTCACATACTTTCTTCTCCACTTCCTTTATTTTAAAAAATAGGGGATCAAATCTGAGTGCTTGTGTTGCTAGTTGGTGTGGGACAAAGAAAGAGGGTTAAAGAAAGGAGATATTTCACACGAGCAGCTGGCAGGTCATTTTAGCATGAATGGAATGCTATTATACCTTAAATTCCGGTTAAGTGATTTTCTAATACATATGTATCTCTTTCCCAGCAAACACCAGATAATAGCAATTTCGGTCTGAATAGTGGGAAAATGTTCTCTTTACATCTGAGAGAACACTTAGAATCACAGTTTTTAACTTTGCACCACCACCCCAACTCTCAAGCACTCTTTCAGTGCAAAGTAGCCCATCAGGTGCTAACCTTTTCACTGTACTAGGGAAGCGTTCCATTGTATTAAGTAAGTATGCTCAGTATCTTACAGAATATGCCTATAATTGGCCTGTTGTCTAACTCGTTTATTTGGAAACAGTTTGGAAAACTGTAGGTTAGAATACCTCACAGGAAAAAAAAAAAAAGAAAGAAAAAAGCTTAAAAGCGTATTTTTGCCTTTCAGTTACTCCTTCAAAGTTAACTTACTCAGCTCATTAAAATGACAAATCATGACCTCAAATGTATTTGTACCATTCAGATACAACATCAGTTTTTTGTTGCTGAGCTGTATGTAGCAACTAGGTGTAGTGAACAATTTAGATGGAAAAGAATACAGTACAACTGAGATGCCATTTTTAATGTTAAACTTTCTGAATAAAATAATGTAGTACAAAAAATAAGCATCTAATTTCCCTGCAGACTTCAGAATAGATACAAACATTGGACCCAGAGGCATGTCTTCCATACTTTCTTCACTAACGTACTGTGAAAGTGCCTGTCAAGGAAAACTCAAAAATTCTGCCACGAAAGCATTCTGACACTCCACTTAGGCAATAAAAAGACTTCTTTTCCCCAAAGTGGAAGCTCTGCTTATTCAGAATACAACTACCATTCCACATGATTTCCCCCTTCAGTTTAGAGATTACATATTGGGAATTCCATTTTCTTAGCTGTTTTATTCTGTAAAATACATCTGCATGCTCTGAGCATCACTCTGGTAACTGCCATTTTTCCTGTTATCAAAAATAACAATCATTCTATTTGGGAAATCAAATTGTAGTTTTGTATTGAAATGTTTTTTGTTTTTATTTTTGTTAATATTTTTACAGTAAAAATGTTTAAATATCAAGGAAAAACTGAAAGGAATACTTCAACTCGTCTCTCTGAAGACAAATTTTTAATGTTTAATGAAGTAGTTCAATAAAACATGTCTGTTGAGAATGTAAATCTGTATGCATGACTTCCCATAGTTTGCAGTACTGTTAAAAACTCAAATGGATCAATATTGGAAAAAAAAAGTCAAAGTGAAAATAAGGTTAAGTTTAATGAACACAGGGATTTCCTGCCTAACTAAACTAATTCCTAAGCTAATATTAAATCAGAAACAAGCCAACACATGTTTTAGTTTCATCCTACATTAGAAAAATGATTTCACCAGAAAATTAACTCTTGGAAGCCAGTGACAACAGCACTGATCCAAGATCATACTGTAAAAAACTCCCCATATTTTTGAGTCAGCTATCTTTATTAGAAGACCAAAATCAAACCCACAAAAAGATAAACATTTCTTATGCAAATCATATTTATGAACACGTGAACAATGCCTTTCAAATTATCTGGAATTATGACTGTCTCACATTACAATAACCTGGGAAGAAGTATAGAACTGCCCAGTGTGTCTATTAACTGCCTAAGTACTATGTATTGGGAATACTCTTCTTTATGCAAGAACTCAACACTAGAAAAGTTAAAAGTTAATAATGCAGTATTTCATTATTTTGAAACCATATATAGAAATGAGCAGATACGGAAGGCTTTTACTGACTGAAAATGATTCTATTTCCTTTTACATTTAGATAATCAGCACTCATATAAACCATAAAACAGAGTGCAGTTGTAGCTCTCATGGTAGGAGAAGTCATTTCAGACAGAAACATTGGCTCTTCAACCAACCTTTAGAAAAGAGGTTCAGTGAAGGCAAGGAATAGGTGAGTTGGTTTTTTTTTGTTTTTTTTTCTTCCCAGCTCTTTCAGTAAAGGAGATAAAGCATAAGCAACACGTTCATTCTCTGCAACTGTGAATACTGTGATCTAATATTTGGCAAATAGTTTAATAAAAGTTCACTGTACTCTCTTGACAGTGACTTAAAAATGAAGAACTTTAAAGGTTCTACACCTACTTTCTTGACCTTCTTTTAATAAAAGAGAAAGTTACAACATGTGGGAAAAACACCATCTAACTTCTTGAGGACAGACAGGAATCTGCTGCAGAAACTAAGCAGCATAGCAAAGATGAAAAATATCATCCATCACTTTGCATGAATATTGTAAAGAGTTTTCAGTTTTAACATCTCTGTAACAAGTTCAAGTAAATAAAAATGGAAGGACTGATGACTCCCTAGGAATTCATAAAATAACAACATCTTAAGTCACATATAGAATTCACAGCTAAATGTTGAAACTCAAGCTAATTACAGACCAAATGAAAATGGCATAAGGATGATGAATCTCTATTATTTGACAGAAAGAATATATCCTATATAAGCCCTAATAGAATTATTCTTCCAGAGACCACAAGCAGAAACTTATTTACAATATGCAATAAACACAAAAATTCAGTAAATGGAAAAGAATGATAAAAAATAGAAAATACAATGCATGCCTACAGCAGATTGCCTGTATGGAAGGATATGAAAACTCTGTTTTATTCATACCACAGGAAAGTTCTGTGGAACAGGTTGCTGACCTCGGGTACAAGCAGTAAAATATTTTATTTATAAAACACAACATTAATGCTCTATTTTCAAAACTTCCTTGATTTATCGTAATCCACTCTGATTTATAACCCAAAATGTCATCATAGGATAATTAAAATTGCTCTCTGGAAAATCTGTACTGTAATACTTAGATTCAGATGACTAAAAAATTATGACTAACATCTAAATACTAATGATGTATTTTTGAGATAACAAAAATACATACAGAAAATAATAATATTGGCTGCTCTTGACTTGGAGGATATCATTGATTTACTTTCCCTTCTGTCCTCCCATCCAATAAATAACAGTATTGCACAAACAAGGAAAAAAATGTTCAATTAATTTGAATTGTCTTTTTAAAGACAAAGGAAAACTGAGGAAAGAGAAGACAGAAAAGAAACTCACTGTTCAAAGAGGAAAATTCATAAAAGGGAAGTCAAAAACCAATATAGGAATAACAATGAAAGAAGAAGAGAAAAGGAAATAAAAGGAGACCAAAGAAAGCTGTTTTTCCTTTTATACATTCTTGTTGTAAGAAGGACTGCAGGAAGAAAAGGCTCAGAATTATCCATGGCTGAGAGGAGACATCTGAAATAGCACACAGTGTGGGAGGACTTGGGAAGAGGACAGAAAAAGGATAAAAATGCTACAAGAAACTATGCAGAATGAAATGTCAGATTAAGACAATTATCATGCAGAGATGTATGTATTTTTCAGAACATCATATATAGAGGACATTTTAAGAAGAAAAATCAAGGAATTATTCCCACATTTCAGGGAACTAGAAGTGACAGAAAGAACAAAGAGGCAGTAATGAAAGCAAGAAGAAAGTGAGAGGAGAAAATGTTATGTACTTTTGATACATGATATTTGGTGAGCTTCAAAGTCCATTTAATATATCTGATTTTGCATGAAAGTTAGAGTACAGTAGATAGTGTTCTTTTCGATCCAAAATTAACATCACTTGGGTCAACAAAAAATCTACTGATTTAGAAATCAGTCTGACTTTAAACTGTCACAAAACTGAAATCAATGGCTCAGAAATAATATTTAATACATTTTGGTCTTTCCAGAATTGGATTACTAGATTACTACAGTTTCGCAAATCAATCAAATGCCACAGTTCACTTGTATGTGCAAGAAAAGAAATGTAGATGTGGAATATACTATTTCACTTATCTGTAATGTAGGTCAGAATTTTGACCCATTTAATCTCTCCATGTATTTGTTTGCATACTGTGAAATTGGTCTCCTTACATACACAGGTTAAAACTCCCTCATTACATAGTAAGATATGTTTGAACTCAGCACAATAACGTCATGAGGTACCAGAGAATATCAATCAAATGCAGATCTCTAGTTTAAAATTATTTTCACTTACATACACTTGGAAAATTCCACAAGGTACTCTCCCATCCAAAATAACATCAACAAGACAAAGCATCTGATTTTCAAGTCTGAAGCAAACTATTTTTGTTATTTTCTGAGCTACTCATATGAACCATCATCACCACTCCAAGTGATCAAATGGTTGCAAAACATTAAGATTCAGTGACAACAGTAATGTTTGTATACAGTGATGAATATTGTTGTCACAGTTGAGCAACTACACATTTTTGGGTATTTTTCCCTTTTGACTTTACAATTGTACACTGCAGAAGTTTAAAACCTATCATGTGCTTATCTGACAAACAGCAAGCAGAGAAGAGAATAAAGGTTAAACATCTGACATATCTGGGACTCCAAGCTAGTTTCTTAGATGGAGTGCGTAGGTATTTTAATGGACAGGGTAAAGTGCATGTTCATTAAATAATGATCTATACTGTCCAGTCATTAATAAATACAGTAGACTTAGTTAGACAGGATGAATGTCATGACCATTCTTTAAAAGTACTTATCACAAAAGCTGCATTTGCCTGTCAATCCTCAGCTAATTATGTATGTTTGATACTGAAATCTTACAGTTATAAATTAATTTCAACAGCAGAGAAGCTATAAAGAAAATTGATTGTATAATAAGGCACGTCAAAGAATAAGAATATCTGAACTACATTTCTAAAACACACAAAAAAAAATTATCAACACTTAGGTGTATCTCATTTCACTTTATAAAAATTAAAAAAGGTAAACAATGATAAGAGGGTATGGTCTAAAATAATCTAGTGAATTACTGTTCCTTCGAATTTGTTTAATTCAGTGGATGACATATACTGCTTTTGTAAACATAAAGGAATGAAATAAACAGTGTAGCTGAATAAGGATATACAAATATATCTTGTTTCTAGAATGCAAATGGAGCTTGCCTAGAAGTGCAATGGAACACGTATCACAAACCAGTCAAGAATGAGGGTGACACTCCTTTATAGTCAGCATGTATGCGCACTGTTTTCTCAGAAGGAAAATCATTAGTAATGTACAAGATCTGGTGTCTTCTTCTGTAATACTGTAATATTTTTCACATACAGCCAATGATACAATACAGCATCATAAAATTGTCAAACAGCATGTGGTTTTTTTCTTTGTTAAAAGACCGCTGAATAGAGTAACTTGTTTTCCTTACCCATTTCAGACATCTCTGGCACAGTAACAATGTATGGTCCATCTGTAAATTTTGGTGCATTGTCATTGATATCCTGTACTTTGATAATAAACTCAGATTCAGGCTCAAGTGGCTTGTTTGTCCTTCTATCAATAGCTTGGGCATGAAGCACATAATGTGTCTTCTGTTCTCGATCGAGGCTTTTGGTTGAATGGATGTCTCCTGTTGTGTCATCAATAATAAATATAGTTCCCGCTCCTTCTCCAGTTAGAATGTATTTGACTGATCCATCACCTTTGTCGGAATTGGAGTGCAGCTGTAGAATATATACACATAAAATCACATAAAATGACTTATTAAGTTCCACAAAAGGTTATTACACAAAAGACATAAAAATTATAATACTACCGTTAACATTGTTAACATTGTTTTGCCTAGTTTTTAACCCACTCAACTTTTGCTATAATCCCTCATGCATTATTACTGTATTACTGACAAAACAATCGTTTTACTTAGGGTCATTTTCAAGTCAGTACAGTTTTTTTTTTTTTTTTTTTTTTGAGATTTCTGAGGTCCTAGTTCATTCTAGAAAAGTTTCCCTGAATCAGTAACATAGTAACATTCTATTAATGAGATATTTTTTGTTTTATTTTGGTTTGGTTTTAATCCTTTAAGCAGCTGCCTTGAAGCACTCATTGCTAGAAAAACAGCCTCAAGTGTTAAGTCTGAAGCAGTCACACTGAGGATTAAATATGCCCAAATGACTATAACTCAGTCCAGTCACCTATACTATCTCCTATGGCCCAAGGAATCACTTTCTACCTTGTCATGTGTCAGAAACAGATGTCTGTCCAGGATTTCTCTACCCCTCCACAAAGTGCAACCATTTATTTTTCTTTTTTTCTTTTTTTGGGGGCAGGGGCAGGTGTTTGTCTTGAATTTAAAATGAACAATCATGCTATTTGTAAAAGGAATATGAGACTTGATGACATTTTCCATCTTGTCTGTATCAAAACTACAGAATTAGGGTGACAAATTTTATATCTTGTTCTCTAGGAGGCCGGGCAGGTTGAAGCTAAAGGAAACATCTAGTAAAGTAAGAAAAGTAAGAAAAATCAGCAGATATCAACTTTAGCCTATCTTCAGTTAATTAACCTTATTTTCATCAAAGCCACAAGAGGATCCAATTGAATAACCAAAACAACTGTGGACCTATTTTATTTCAAGAAGAAAAGAGAGAGAGAGAGAGAGAGAGAGAGAGAGAGAGAGAGAGAGAGAGAAGAAAGGTCTGCATACTTAGCTTTGCTTTTAAAGGACAGCAGGATAGTTTTACAGTTTTACACCTTTCTTTTTGAGTAGTGATAGACAAAACTCCAGTTACATCCCTTATCATCTTCAGAGTACTATTGGATTCTGTGTATATTGAGTAATGCACTCAAATTGCCAGCAATTCAAACGGTATAAAAAAACAAAATAGTTTCTAAGGAGATTCATTAAAACCAACAGTAGAAGGTACTTCAGCATCTAAGTTCTTGTTCACAAGCAGAGCAACACAGACTCAGCCTACCACATTCTCTTCAACTGTTCTGACTTTACTTGTGTGACCTTAGAGAAGATATCTTACTCCAGACTCCTAAAAAGCACATGGCCATTTTGTTTCCATGAGATGCTACTATACCTGTCAATGGTTACTGCAGGAGCACATGCACACTAGAGAATGAGACACTAACGCACTTCAGTAATGCAAATAAATATCTCACATAAACAGAAGATGCAGGGGTGTTTTTCCCCTTCCCTGCCACTGTAACACTATATAAAGAATAGCAATGGTAACTTAGTAGCAAACTCCTAGGTCACAGAAAGTGAGGAAAAGCTCAAATGCAGCAGACAGGGGTGCAGAAATAACAGAAAGAAGCTGCTTACCCCTGGAATGCCTCTGATACACAAAGATCTCCAGCAAGAGACTTTTACTTCCACTGCCAACCCAGATATGAGGTCTGGGAAAGGGTAGATCCTGCCTCCACCCATTGCATTCACTCAGGCACACTGCATGCAGCTGAACTCCCCTCGGTTGGCCCTGCCTTTCACACCAGGTCAGTCACTGGGTCAGGCCATGACAGCATTTCTGCTACACCCAGTCAGAGCTAGAAAGTTGGAACATTGCAGGAATCTCTTAAGAAGAAATACAAACATATCTCGAACTGAAACATGATTACTCAAAATGTTGAGAGAAGTAATGAACATCATTGAAAAGAAAAAAAGAGTGCTATGTCAAGCAATTACAATACAGCTCTGTGATATTATTTACTGACATTCGATTCCAACTTTTAAACTGCTGCTGAAAGCAGGCTTGTTTGTTTTTTTTTTTTTCCCTTTGTGAAGTAGCTTCAACTTGCTTCCTAAAGCATTCTCACTTTAGATCTGTTCTACTGTGATCTTACAAATCAGCAGTTAACCAGTAGAGACTAACACATCTTGGACTTACCATGAGACCCAGCTGTCCCTGTTCAGGCCCCAGTTAGGCTGTAATGGGCCTGGAACCCAAAGTGCCACAGCCCTGCCCTTTCTATCCATGGTCTCCACCCAGCCAGTCTCACTAGCAAGACCACAGCCCAGCCTTGCCTGTCCCTGTGCCCAGGGAGATGTTTGGTCCCTGTGGCTGGGGTTATCCAAGTACCCTGGAGCACACCTGGCCCACTCGGGGATACCCTACATTTTGGCCCCTGGGTGTTGTCTCACTCTGCTGCTCTGACAGCACCACCTCCAATCTACCAACATCCAGTCTGTGTCCAGAATTTCTTGTGAAAAGCAGTTTCTATTCTAAGCTATGTAGTGGCTTCTAGAAATGTTACTTATCATTGCTTATTATGCTATATTCCTAATGAGAATATATACATTAAATATTCTGAATCTGCCCACAATCAGAAGAAGCCAGAAGGTATTTATTTTTTCATCCCCTGTTGGGTCTTATTTTCATCTTTACTTTTCTGAATTGAAGAAACTGAAAATACTAGCTGAAGAACATATCTGGAATGTCACCTTTATCAACTTAGTGAGCTCCACTTCTTGACATATTTAATAACAAGTTGGCTTCAGGATGATTTATGATGGTTCCTCAATCTTTAACTAGCCTGTATCAGCAGTGTGTGACTGATTTAGCAGAGCAGCAAGCAAGGTGTCCTTGTTTTCTTAAGACTTAAACATTTCTCTTCCGTAAGTCTAATTGAATACTTTCCATTAGTGTTTCTTCACAAATTACAGAAAGATAACATTTTCCAAAGGCATCACTTGAAGACATATAACAAACTTTTCAGTTAATCAGTTTCTTTATATTTTTATATTAACTTCAATACTACAAATCTTTAAATAGATATAATTTGCTGCATTAGCATATTGGCAGCTTTAAAATAAGGACACTGTAGGCTTGCTGCCCTGTTAATACAGTATTATCACTGCAATTAATTGCTAAACTGCAGACCCAAATGTTCAGGTGCCTATGGCTTAACTAAAGGCCTGCTCACCACCCTTAGTCTTCATACATTTTTACTAAATTACTTAATATCTTTATCTAATTCTTACTGACAATATACTTTAAGAAGTTTGCCTTTAAGTATTTTTCAAAAGTCAATCAAATGACTATAATTAAGCAGCAACTAGTAGACAGTATAGAAATGGAGATCAATAGGAAAGAAGCACACAGATGAAACATAAAAATAAACCCAAACCAATACAAAGAGTAGGAAAACAATATCCTACTTCTGGTGGGATGTGGTATGCTAGCAACTCTCACCCATTATCATGCTCCCCTGTGCTTGCATGAGGGAGACAAGTGGCAATTAGAAACAAGGCATGATAAGAAGAATGAAGAAGAAATCTGACAAAGTATGTTTATTATATTAAAGGACTGCTTTCCCCCTTTTGCTTTAATTGAATAATTCTGATTCTTGATGTGTTGTGTGGGTGGGATTTTAGGTGGATCAGTAATGAATTTTGCAATATTTTAACTAGACTACCAATAAAATCTTGGACCTGAATATAAGATGCATGCTGTTCTGTTGAAAATGAAGTATTATGAAGAGATTCCCAAAAGCATGCTAAATTGAAATCTGAAGCTGATTTGAAAATCAAGAACCGTTGCACTAATCTAATGGAATTAAACAGGGCAGAAATGGCTATGCATACAATACATATAGATTATTTTGAAGTGACTGCACATATTAACATAAAACTTACTGTTGACAAATAATAAACAAGAATATTATGTACATAATTTCAAAATCAAAACTTGAGTTCTGGCAATTACACTGACTGATTACATGATGCCTTATCTAGAAGACATTGACTCACTTTGCCAGAGATTCACAGACTTTTGCAGAGAGGAATGCAATGATGAAACTTATGAAGGCTAAATTTAATTTTATAGACCAGAGGAGAATATGCTCTATTGATTACAGATTCCTCTGTCTCATCTTCCCCTCTCAATTTCCAGCCAATCCTCCTTCACCTAGGCACAAACTCTTTCTAAACCTAGCAGACTCTCTCTTCATGTTTCATGCCACCCAGTCTCTATCCCTCTGCCAAACTCAAACTCTTACTCTAACAGTCTGCTTTTAAGCTTTCTATCCACACAGTTCGGGACTTCTGTATAATGATCTGTAATTCTTCTATGCTCTTATTCACTGTCTAAATGAGAAGCTGGACATAAGCCAGCAGCGTTCACTTGCTGCCTGAAAGGCAACTGTGTTCTGGGCTGCATTAAAAGAGGAGTGGCCAGCAGGGAGAGGAGGGTGATTGTACCACTCTATTCGGCTCTTGTGAGGCCCCATCTGGTATAGTGCATCCAGGCCTGGGGCCCCCAATTCAAGAAAGATGTGGAAATCATGGAGTGGCTCCAAAGGAGGGCCACTAAGATGATCAGAGGGCTGGAGCACCTTTTCTAAGAGGAAAGGTTGGGGGAACTGAGCTTGTTTAGCTTGGAGAAGAGAAGGCTCTGGGGAGACCTCATTGTGGCCTTCCAGTACTTGAAGGGAGCATATAAACAGGAGAGGGAATGACTGTTTACAAGGGTGGATAGTGATAGGACAATGGGGAATGGTTTTAAACTAAGACGGGGGGATTTAGGTTAGACATTAGGAGGAAGTTTTCCTCTTAGAGAGTGGTGATGCACTGGAACAGGTTGCCAAGGAGACTGTGAATGTCCCATCCCTAAAGCCAGGCTGGATGTGGCTCTGGGCAACCTGGTCTGGTGGTTGGTGACCCAGCACACAGCAGGGGGGTTGAAATGAGATGATCAATGTGGTCCTTTTCAACCCAAGC